TGATGCAAATATTAACGAACCATTTGTGTTGACAAAAGGTATAGAAAAAGAGAATAAAGCGAATGAAGAAGAAACTCGAAATAACACCCAAGAAATTGATATTTGTCATCTAGTGAGGACGACGAACAAGAAGATGCACCTACAAGTGTCAATGAAGACAAGCAAGTTGGAAATCCAATTGATTCAGTTGGTGCTCAGGCTTGTTGAATTGCATGATTGGGAACTTGAACAAATGGAGGTAAAAACAGCTTCTTTACATGGTGAACTTGAAGAAGATATGTATATGCAACAACCATAAGGGTTTCTTGAAACCGGAAAAGAAAGGCTAATGTGCAAGTTGAAGACATCCATACATAGACTCAAGCAAGCATCAAAGCAACGGTATACGACTTTTGATATGTTAATGGTAGGTCTTGGATACCAAAGGAGTGATTATGATCATTGTGTTTATATAAATTGTTTTGTGATGGCTCATATCTTATCGTAATCTTGAATGTTAATGATATGATTTTGGAATACAAGGATAAGATTAGGATTGATGAGCACACATCTGAGCAATAATTTTGAAACGAAAGATCTCGAGCGAGCAAAAACAAAAACTTGGAATTGAAATCCAAAAAGATCGTCAAAGAGGGACTTTGTCACTTTCACAAAAGAGTTTTGTAGAAAAGATGCTTGATGATTTTAGCATGAAAAAACAAAACCGATGAAGACTTTGTTAGCTTCTGATTTTAAGTTGTCTTTCGAGCAAAGTCCAAAGATTGAAGATGAAAAGAATACTATGAGTAGGGTGTCATAAGTTAGTTTGTGGGAAGCGTAATGTGTGCCATGGTGTGTACGAGACCAAACATGCATACTTGGTGACTTTGAGTCAATTTATGGCAAGTCCCATAAAATCTCATCAAGAAGGTGCAAAATAGGTGCCTTGGTATTTGAGAGACACAAGTGTTTATGCTTTGACATTTAGCAAAAACTTGGGGCACATTCAAGACTACGTCGATGCAAATTATACCAATGATATTGATAAAGGAAGAACAACTACTTGTTATGTTTTCAAGTTTGCAAATGGACCAGAAGTTGCATGTCAAAGCTTCAATTAATGGTGGCATTGCCAACCATTGAGGCCGAATACATTAAAGCAATGAAAGCAAACAAAGAAGCGGTTTGGCTTCAAGGTCTTATGGGTGAGTTGGGCATCAACTCCAAACCCATGGAAGAACTCTATGATAACATGAATGCCATTAATTCACTAAGAACCCAGTTTATAACAAGAGGACGAAGCAACATATTGGTTTGATAAAATTATGTTCGATAAGTTCTTGAAGATGGTGTAGATCGGTTGGGAAAGTTTGAACCAAGGAGAATGTCGCAGATATGCTCATAAAGACAGTTATGGTAGAGAAGTTAGAAGGGAGCCTAACTTCTATAGGTAAAAATGGAATTCTTAACAAGACAAGTGATTTACCATCAAGATGGAGATTGTTAACAATGATAGAAATCACATAGTGGACCGAGCATGTCATTTATATTTATTTTCGAGGGATTTTTTGTCTTACTCAAAAATGAGTAATATAAAAGAGTGTAAAAGGCCATTTGGGCCCATTCCTTCTTGTTTTTCCCTTTTCTCTATAGAAAGATAGGTTTTCCTTTTGGTAAAGTGCAAAACGGGAAGGGTTGAAGAAGGAGTTTGTTATCCCTCTTGGTGTCAAACCTTTGTGAGCTTTCAAGAAGGAATTTGCATGAGTCTCTTCATTAAGGAAATATTGTATCTCACATTGTAAATTTCTCTTTGATAGTGGATTTTTGCTTGCCCCCTTGCTCATGGATATAGCCCTAATGGAGAAACACATTATTGTTGCAATTTGTTCTTGATTTCCTTTTGTGGTCTGTTAATTCCATTTCTTGTTCATTTTTCTCCTAATTTTATTACACACAATTGCTGGGTGCCTTCTTGGGTTACCAGTACCACATACTTGGGGTTTTGAGTGTGTGATATATTGTGGTCGGTTCATTGGGGTCTCAGGTTATCAATTCCCAACATATATGAATTTAAAAATAAAAAAAATGAAGTTTACTATAATCCCCAATATTTGCATTAGATGCAAATCAATGCCTCCAATCCCGTCAAAGCTTCCATATACAACCCAAATCAAAACCCCGAAACCAGTTTTGGGTTTCAAGTCCGGATCTAGGAGTTCCAAGCTCTTGGATAAATTTCGATGAATAGTAAATTTAAATTTCAAATCTCTCAAATCCCAATAATTTTTTATGTACAAAAACCAAGCGTAGAACGTAAAAATTGGATAAATGTCATAAAAGACTATGGACTGTGAAGAAAAATCACAATTCTTCAAAATCAAGCAAAAACTTCACGTAACACAAGAAGAGACACTCACTAATCTTTGATTATAATGCCCTAAAACACATTTGGAAAACACTTTCAATTCAATAAGGTTAAATGTCAATTTCAACAAGTAATCACCATAAGACTAAATAAAGAAACTTGAGTAAATCAACATGCAATTTAGAATTCGTTTTAATGCTTGGAAAATAGCATTTCTGATCCTTAATTGATTAAAACATGTCCTTAAACAAAATTAGCTAAATAAAATTGAATTCGTTCAAATTTAAAGCTAGCCTATAGCATAAAGAGAAAAAGGGGTACAAAATAACATTAAATTAATTTCAGAGAATCGAGTTCTAGAGTTTTGAAGTTAATGGTGTGTTAAGGTGACAAATGTTCCACAACCCCAATCTATCAAGAGTAGGGGTGGTGGCAACGCATTCCGAGGACCGGGACCAGATGCCGACCCGGAACCGAAGTCACTAGACCCGCACCCAGACCCAGACCCGACCAGACACGATTGGACCCAACCCAAAAATCAAAATATTATACATTTAAATATATTTAAATATACAATTAAATATATTTTATAAATTTTAAAATATATACATGCATTAGTTAAATATTATAACTAAAACTATATAGTTGTATTTATTTAAATATTATATATTATATATTATTTAAATATCAACACTATTTGGGTCGGTCCAAGTTGGGTCTGCATGGTCCCGCCTACGTAGGGTCCCGAGAGGGGTGAGCTGGAAACGGTCCTAGCCTTTGGCTTTTTATGCACAAAGTATATATATGTATAAATAAAT